ATATAAGTATTATATTGTATATTAGTATACGATACTTTGCGTCAAATAGGATTTAAATTTTTTTCCAAATAATTACTTTGTTATTAGAAGGCATATCAAAGGTTTCTACAAGATTAATATTGTTTTCTTTTGCTAAATTTTCTAATTCTCTCAACTCTCTAAGACCCCAATCAGGATTCATAGAGTTTAATGATTTATTGAATTGTATATTACTTTCCGGAGTAATAATACCATCAATAGCATAAGGGCCATATGTAAATAAAATACCATTAGATTTTAATAATTTTCCAACATTTTTAAATAAACCGATGGAGCACTGATATGGTGCACAGTGCATCATATTAGAATTGTATATGTAATCTATACTATTTTCCGAAAAAATACCATTACCCCATAATCGATAATCAGTGGTAATGTCTATCTTTAAAGGTTTTCTTATATTAGAAAATCCATTAGCATGTGCGGCAATACTTTCTAATAATTGTGTTTCATATTCTGAAGGATAAAATGTAACATGTGGAAAATGAGGAGCAAAATGCGCTATATGTTGTCCTGAACCGGAAGATATTTCCAGAAACTTCTGATCAGTACCTGGTTGTATGTATCGTCGTAAAACTGATAAAATAGGATCCTTATTACGTTCTGCCGCTGGATATATCAGTTTTTTAGCAGCCATACTTGTTGACCTACTATTTCATAAAATAATATTTATAGTCCTCTGGCATTATTTTAAAAAAATATGAAGTTTTTAAAATAGAATAGACAAAAGAAAATATTTTTTTAGAATAGAGGTGTTTTCTCACCTGTGATTAGCAGCACAGTGAATTATGTTCATTGCTGATTATCACATTGGTGCAAACATATATCGGAGATATTTAACAATCTGAAAAATTCAATAATTTTATATAGGATAATGAAATATAAAGAAGAAGTATATCTATGGAGAAGAAAATTTATTTTTATTTGCTAATAAGACTGAAATCTTTTTTTTTTTTTATAAATTATTACAATTAATTCTCCTACAATTTATTAATTTACTATATAACAAATTGTTAGAAGTTTTCGTCATTTTTAATAATTCCTTTTATCCACATTTTTTTTAGATTTAGACACGTGTTCTTGATTTTTTTTATTTTTTAACGAATCCGGTATATAAACCGAATGACCTGTTTTCTTTAAATGTTCAAACAATTTGTTTTTGCTAGAAAATTCAGCTCTGCAGGAAACACAAAAATGTGCTAAATCTTGAACGTCGGCTATCCTAACATCTTTTTTATTTTTACTTTTGTTTTCATTTCCTATTTTATTGCGTAATTTTTTGGAATCCTTTCCTTTGCTACTCTTTATATTTTCATTGGAAATTTGTGCTTGTTTTATCACATTATCAGTACTTTCAAAATTCATCTGAGTTATTTTATTCTCCAGGCTTTTTAAATCGGTTTCATTAGTTTCATCACAGCAATTTTGTTTTTCTACTTCTTCGCATTTTTCTAATTCTTCATTATTCATAGTAATTTTACTTAAGGCAACTTTACGTTGTTGTTGCTTTTTACGTTGTTTCTTTGACAACCATACGTGTTCATCCAAACTTTTATCTTCTTCATCGCTATCATTTTCTACATTTTGTATATTCCTTCTCTTCTTTTTCTTTTTCTTTTGTTTAGTCTGTACTATCTCTTCTTCATCTTGATCTGACATTAACTCATCTTCAGAAGTTAAATTTTCCTCTTCATTCTCTTTCTTTATTATTATTGGTTCATCAAACATTTGAGGACCAGTAGCAAGATTAATTTCTTCTATGTTAGATAGTTTTGCCCAAGCATTTGGAGGAGGAGTTTTGGACGTGTCATCTTCGTCACATGTTAATTCACCTTCTGAAACCTCATGTTCATTATCATAGCTAGTAGTATTGCTTATGTTAGGATTTAATAAAAAGTCAGGTAATTGTGAATCTGTTGCTAATTTAACTTCATCTCCTGGAGTATTGTAAGAAGTTGTTATAGTGGACATTGACTCTGAACTTGTATCGGTTTCTTCTGTATTTTCTTGAATACTTTTATCTTCCTGTACCATAGATTGTTTCATAATAGCTATGTTCTCTTTATGCTTCTTTGAATTCTCATGATTGGCAAAAGCTTTATGTGTTTTAAAGATTTTATTGCAGGCAACACAGTAAAGAGTATTATCGTCTATATCATTTTCAGTTTCTGAATCTCTGTCAGAAGATAATTGTTCCCCAAATTCAGCAGCAAGATTAGCTTCAATATTTTTAAGTTCCGCTTCAACGTTTGAAAATTTCGACCACTCAGATACGGTATGTTCTTTTAAATGTCTCTGCCTCTCCAACAATTGCATTCTTTTACGCTCTTCTGTCTTTTTTAAATTTTCTTTGGCGCGTTCAAGAAGCAATACAGCGTGCGCTTGGACTCTCTTATCGCGTTTTCTAATAAATGCAACCAAATTTCTAACTTGTTCGTTCCTTTCACGTTTAGCTTTTTCGCGTACTTTTTTATTTTCTTTCTCAGCAAGTCTAACTATTCTTCTATTAGGTGCATGTCGAATATCGTGTAGATCTAACCAAGCGAAAGATCTTTTTGTACTGTAACTTTGCCAATAAGCATAGAAAGGATGAACTACGTCTTCATAAGAACTCTGAGAATTTCCAAAATTAGGTACTTCTTCATCAGAATCATCTTCCATCACAAATTCAGCATCTTCTGCTACTAATTTCTCAAAAACTGTTCTGTAGACAGTGTAAAAACCTTTTTCATCGTCATTATAACCTTGGAAGCAAGTAGTTGTAAAATATTGAAATAGATCAATCGAATCATCTTTATAATCTTCTCCGATACCACCTTTCAAAATAGCATCTCTGTGGTTATCATACCATGCTCGTTCATGAGGGTCGCTTAATACCTCCCATGCTTGTTGAACTAATTGAAATTGTTCTTTAGCTTCTTCTGGAGCATTTAAATTTTTATCTGGATGCCATTTGAGCGCTAATTTTCTATATGCTTTTTTTAATTCATCATCTGTGACATTTTTTGGGACACCTAGTACTTCGTAATGACACTTCATTTTAATATTTTGTCTTGAATTTAATAATAGTAATAATATTCGTAGGTAATATTAATACTTTTTGTTAATAATAAAATATATATATATATATGTGTGTGATATTTATTATATATTATTCTAACAATGATATTTTTCGGAATTAAATTTTTTTCTTTTATATTTTACATTGATCATTATGCACATATTTGATGGATTAGAATCTTACCGAATATTAGCGAACAGCAATTGATCGATCGTCTTCGATAATATAACAGACAATAAAATAAACTTTTTAATTGTAAATACAATAATTATTAATTGTTACAACAATTTCGTTTACATTTTTATGTAACGTATTTTAGAATCTTGCATGCTCTTGCGTTAATATTTACAGCTTACATTTGTTACCATGTTCAGATTATAGGGTTAAAATTTTATGAGCTTGAATATAGCTACAAGTGTGACTAGTTCTGAAAGGAGTTTAAAAATTTTTACTTCTTAATTTAAAGTGTCATATATTATTTTAATTTCGAAGGAAAAGATTATGAAACAATTAAAAAGGTTGACGGTGATTTAAAATCATTGAAACATTATTCGATATTACTAGAATCAATTGAATTATTTCTCATTAATTGTTAATGTCTCAATATTTCTAGGGATCTTTTGACATAGAACAGCTGATCGTAGGATCCACTCAAGTGATACAGTCTTCACGTCAAGATGGCTACGATCGTAAAAGTGCAGTAAGGAAGGAGGGATTTTCGGCATATTTGGCCAATTTTGACGTTTTAAGTAGCTGTCAGTATTAATCGGTTTATCTGGTAAATATTATCAACATTTTTATACGTTTTATTTAGAATGAAATAAATGTATATGGTTTTAAACGATATTGAAAATAAATGTCAAGATCATTGGGGGAATTGTCAGTGACATCTTGCGAATTTAATATAGCAGACGCCTTCAATTCAATTGCTTTTGATAATTCTTTATGATTATAAATGATTATTGTTTCAATATGATACCAATGACACGAACATTATTTTCTACAGTATTTATTTGACATAACCTAATTTCTTTAAATTTAAGATTTTATTAATGTCAATGTGAGTATGTCAAGATTAATATGAAAATATATCATTGGTTTATCGTTTATTTATCAGAGAGTTATCTTTTTTCTATCTAATGGTAGTTTGTTTATTAATCATGTTTATCAATAGATTACTGGTTTTTCTTTTGTAACACAAACTTAAATTAGAACATTAGAAGCTTATTTAAATTCTTAATAATAAATACAAATTAATATGACATTCAAAAATTTGTGTACCAGTAATCCTTATTTCAATAAAATATTTCCTTGAAGTTTAATTGATTATTATTATTATTATTTATATAAATTAAATTTTCAGATAGAACATCAATATGACAGCGGGTACAAGTTTAGTAGTCCCCATAGTATTATGGGGTCGAATAGCACCAACTCATTGTATTTCTTGCGTTTATTTATCACGAGATCAAAAAACTTTAGTTACGGGATGCTACGATGGTCAGATATGTTTGTGGCAAGTTGATCCTGAAACACTTAAGGTAATTATATTATTTTCTTGTCATCTTCTTTCTTCCATTTAATTTATCCTGTAAACATTTATTTTAATTTAATTTATTTTTTAGATGACACCAAGATGTTTACTCGTTGGTCATACTGCTCCAATAATGTGCCTAAGTCGTGCCAGCGTTATTAAGGAGCAAAATTATATCGTCAGTAGCAGCGAAAGCGGAGAGATGTGTACTTGGGACTTGGTTGATGGAAAATGTCGGGAAGCTGTTAAACTTAACAACGTTCATACGCAAATGTTGCCTTATGTCTCGGCTGGAGGAGAAGATGTTAGATTGTTTTGTTCAGGGTATATAAAATTGATTCCTTTTTTATTTGTTTCTTTTCTTATGAGCCAGACATAAGAGTGGTAAATTATAATGCAAGAGATTAAGAATGTACAAAAAATTAATATTTTGTATTGTTTTTATATGTAGGAATTATCCAGAAGTTTTAGTAATGGACCCGTTTAGTTTGGAAGTTATATTCACGCTGAGTTCTCAAGTGAATCCTGATTGGATTAGTGCTTTGCACGTTCTACGGCCGGCCAAACGGAAAGGTCGGTTCTACGTGCATACAAGTTAGTTACACTTCATCACACCTACGCTTATACCATACAATGCTATCTTATCTTCTACCAATTTTTTATCAATTTGTATTATGCGCATATTTGTTTATTTCTTTCTTTACTAAAAGAAATAGAATAATGAAGAATGAACTTGGTATTGCATATACCAGTTTCATTTGTATGTCTACAAGCATTACGTTAATATTTATTATTATAATTAGTCATTTTAAAATTGACTATTTATTTAATCGCGCATAATACTTTTTGGGTAACTCAAATATTATTTTATAATATATCTCCGTTGAGTAAGAATCTTTTTAAATTCATTTGTCTTTTATATTTTTATTCTATTATATATATATATATATTTTTTCTTTTGTAATGCGGAAAACATCAGTATAACAGATCTAAGAAAAGCTTTGTGCTTTGGGTATAATACATATAAATAGATATGATTTTGATAAAATTTCTTTTAATTTAGAAATTTGTTAAGATCGTCGAATATAAGGGTATATTTTCGCGATTTATTTGATTTATATATTATTTAATCTAGTACTGGTGAATTTATTACATAATACAGTTAGAATTTTAATCTAAATTACATTGTTGCAGCATGTAAATGCGAGTGGATACAAGCCAGTGTTAAAACACTGATGTTCAACGCTATAAATCACTTCTATCATCAATTACTTTTCTTAATATTATATTTTTCACGAATTTTCTCTCTCCTTCTATCTTTCTTTATCTATCTATTTTTCTTTTTGCGTTACACTTTTGTGCCATTGGTAGAAAATGAGTCGATATCATTAATCCTCGCACTATTACATTAACACACACTATTCATGCTTCTTTTCATCAAACGTGACATTTTACATCCTAGTCTATCGGTAGATATACATTACATATATACTGACATGCATTGACTTAATTCTTCATACTAATTTGATATACTGTACCTATCTCGTAAGTATATACTAATAATATATATATACATATTTTTTACGTAAAACTTATCTGTAAATATATTTATTAAACTTAAGGGATTGTTGTCTTTGTTAGGATTTAACCGTTTGAGTCCCAAGTAATGTAATTGTGCTATTTAGATTTCTTGTTGTAAAGTACCATGTTAGTAAAATGCAATATGCAATTTATTCATGATTTGGCATTTGTTTACATGATTTTTCTAAAGACCACCAGGACTTAAATGGTTATTTAAGCATGTTCAATATCTCATTTTATTTTCTCCCTTTTTAAATTCTTTCTTATGATAATATACTAACATCCTAAATTAAATAGGGAGCTTTTGTTTTCATTAGAGTATTCTTACACATATGAAGTAAATAGATGGATTATTAAAAAAATAATATCTTTTACAGATATGTTTATTTGATTTCATATTAATTTTATTAGCCTTTATTATTTAAATTTAATTTTGTATATATATATATACATACATATAAAAAAGCATGAAAGGGAAAATTTTATCAGTAGAATATATATTAATTTCTTATTTTATTTTATGCATGAAAAAGCATGAGAACAAGTTTGTCGATTATGTACAGTCAATAATGTTTATTTTCAAATTTTTGTTAAGAAATGATCTGATATAAAATTAAGATCAATTAAATAATTTGTTAAAATTTGTATTGTTTTAAATGCTATTATAATAACTTTGAAGATTTAGTTAACGCGCAACACAGGCGCTTTAATTCATTTAAAGACGACGTTGTGTTGGCTCTGACAACGACGGGTACAGTCAAGGTGTGGACGCTTTTGGGGCATGAAAATCGTAACAGCGAACCTCTTTATGAACACGAGAGCAAACAAATACGATGTTTGAATGCTCTTGCTATGATCTGCTGTCCTTACAATCAACGTACAGTTCTTATTGTATGCTCTAAATATTGGCAGGTGCGTTGTCATTTTAATCCCAATTATAAATGTAAATGTAAATGTAAATTGTTTTACATAAGTTATTATATTTTTTCAGATATTCGATGCTGGTGATTTTTCGGTCCTATGTTCCATAACAGCGCCTCGGGGTGAACGTTGGATGGCTGGTGATTTTCTGGCAGCAGATCGTGTTATTCTTTGGAGTGACGAGGGTCATGGATACCTTTACAAATTACCAGCTAAGTATGTTCCTGCAAAGAATAAGTTTAAAATTGTTTGTTTTAATCGCTTAGTTTGAGATCTTGATGAAATCTTATAAAAATGATTGATGTTTTATCCATCTTTATTATAATCATGAATATATTGATAATACAAATGTTTCTAATTTCTAATTTATTCCAGCAAAGAAATTTCTTAATCTACTCTTTTGCACCTTTCTGATAAATAATTTAAAAACTAGTTAAACATTTGATAGAATACAAACAACGTATACTTAACTACACGATCTAACTAATATCCAATTATTATACATCTAAGTAATTAGAATGCCTGTTATTTTGTATCCAGTATGTTAATCCTTAAGTTTATCTTTTAAATTTATTTAAAAATATCTTCTTCCCTTAATTTTAAATTTGGAGCTGGGATATTGCTCTCGTAGAAAGAAGCACCTGCTGGCAATGCACAAATTCAATATTTTATGTTCCCAATTTGTTTCTTCCATTTGTCATACATATATAACAGTGTAATAGAGAAATAATAATTTAATGTCTAAGAATAATTTCTTTAAAGTAGAATCGAATAATTATATGTCTAATAATATATAATTCCATTATTAACGTAGACGTTACTAAAAAAAAGTCAATATTGTTTATTTCATAAAGCCATCCGATATATTTAAACATAATCATTTAATCTTTTTACCAAATTAATGATTCTTTTCATTTCTACTTCCCCCATTCTTGACCGTCATTAGATTTCTTTGATTATATATGAATACTTGAATATTTAATTTCCATTCCTTCACAAACATTCACATGCCAATTAACACAATGATCTGTTTTACGGTGATGTGTCTTTTCTACATAACATACATCTACTGCACTCCATGGGTGGTCTGGTCTTCTAGCAAGCTGAAGGGCAAGGCTCTCAGCAGGTAACCTCCTGTATAATCACTTTACAACGTCTCTTTTTCTTATTATAGACCTATCTTGATTATCTATTTTAATCTTATTGGTTTTTGATAATTTCTTTTCATATGGTTATTATCATAGTAATTATCCTTCCATCTATTCCCTCTATTGTGATTAATTCTTATATTTTTTTTGTCTATCTTCTCCTCTTCTTCTTCTTCTTCTATTTCTTCCTTTTTCAAACTTTCTG